ACCATTCCTTAACTGGCCTACAATACACATACTCACTCATGAAACTTCCACCAATCTTGTAGCCGCTAGTACATGCTAATCATACATAACGTTGGATCCTATAGACAGTCAAATACTTGATTCTACCCTAAGCCGACAACCAAACAAGGAATGGGAAATAAGGCTAAACCAAACATTCTCTAGCTATAGAATCTTAGTTATGTATAACTATGATGCACGCACTAAGCAACAACAATAATAATGTCAATTTCACCTAACATATAATATGTTCTCGTAGGCTATCAAGCATCATATATCAGATAATTCTATCATGCAATTCTTAAAGGTCCCTAGCATATCACTAGCATGTAGTTATATCATAATCATCATAAACAAATAACAGTGTGGTAACTCGGGATATACTTTCTTGCTTCAGCTGAACGTACACATCTCATCCTTCCTTGGTTACTTTTGAAAACAATTTTTTTATACAATTTTGAATGCCATTTTTGGAAAAATCATTTTGAAAATTCTGACAGATCCTTAGTTTGAGTTTGGATTCACACGAATGATCATCCAATTCTCTCAAACCAGGGCTCTGATACCAACTTATAGTATCCCAAAATCACAATAAAAATTTTATACTTAACTAAAGAGAAATCATTGTTTTCAATCAAACCCAAGTCATAAGAACCCATGATCAAGTATAAATGTTCCAAAAATTAATGTACCATAACATCTCCAAAACATATAACCAAAGGATGTGTACGATCACGCCTTTGCTTTCCTCCTATCATCTGAAGTACCTGAAACATAAAGCTTAAATTTTAAGTCAAAGCTTAGTGAGTTCCCCTAAAGTAACACGCACAACCAATACAAATAACAACATGCATATATGAGCTTTCAGCCTGACTAGACTGCCTCACAGGGCCTACAATTTATCTAGACTGCTCTTCAGACCTTCATCCTAACCAGACTGCCTCGTAGGCCTTCAGACTTTAGTCTATCCAGAACGCCCCAGGTATCTTATCCTTCAACACAAAGCAGGACCGCCTCAACCCAACAACCATAACATGTCGACATATACAATAACAATTAATATCTAGCAACACATGTAATCATACATATCTACCAATCTAAGGCATACGTAGTGAACACATATAATCATATAGATCTACCAATCTAACAAACACTCAACATAACATCAATCCAATATACCAGTATACAAAATTCGGTGGGCTGGCATTGGTGCTTTCTACCAACAAGTACAATGAGGAAAAATCACCTCACAGTCTGAGAAGATAACAGAAAATAATGTTGCTCCAAATGCCAACTCTACAGGTCACTTATACAACAAACAATGACCTAGTCTCAAACTACTACTTAAAATACCCAAAATACCCCCAGGTCAAACTTTGTCAAAATCTCGGTCAAAGTCATGGTCAAAAGTCAAGATTTCCATCTAGGCTGAGTACTACCTACGTACTCCCCTCTACGCCCAACGTAGAGGGTTCCCTTCCAAACCACGGGTTCGAACCCTAGTACATGCAACGTACCTCCAGGTACGCCCAACAAACCAGAGCTATATCCCAAATTTTCCATTAAATTCTTATTACGTTAAGCCAAAGCTCCAAACTTCAGATCCTGGTAAAAGGAACGTCTTAATGGATAAAGTCTCTGACTTTATCCATTTACATGCATACAAGAGGGTAAAAACTCAAACCCTTGGTCCAAAAGACATCCAAAGTCCCAAAATTCTTGCATGGCTCAATGAGAGCGTCCAGGCTCTCGTTTTTATGAATCTAGGAGCTCTAAACTACAGGAAACTACATTTCAAGGACCTTGAGTAGCTCATACTCCATTTGACAAACTATAGGACCAAAAATGCATCCAGACTCTAGACTAACAAGATTTCAGCAAATAACACATCAAGATCCAAGCTTTATACCTCCAAATGATGCTTGAGGGTAAGATACTTCTGGATCCAAGATGCCTTGATCTTCCAAGTTGATTCCACTTCTTTCTTCTTCCTTCAAGATCACCAAAAGCACACTTTCAAGCTCAAAATGCTCACACAATGGATTAGGGTTAGCAAGAGACCATTTGGGAGATGGAGGTTGATAAGGGAAGAGTTCTTGAAGAGATAATGATGTTTAAATAGAGCTTAAACCCTAAAAATTAGGGTTTGACCCTCAGGTACTTACGCCCAACGTATTAGGCACACACACATTTTTTACTTGAAGAGCCAAGGGACCAATTTGTCAATAAATTTCACACTAAGGGTATAAACGAAAAATACATGGATCGAGGTGTTACATGTTAACCTTGAATGACAGTTAAAGTATGAAGGTTACGTGACAGTTAGGTTAAAGAACATACGAGTAACATCAACATCATAGGAACACACACGTCGAGTATCTCATCATGACACCCACAACGATACATAAGAGGAACATAGAGAGTTTGAAGTTGTCAACAAACAATACAGTATGAGAGGTACTTAGTCCACATTTTTATTCGTATAAATCAACAATAGTTGTAGTTTTTTATATAATAAAAAAGATGTGTTATCTTTATAAATAATTTGTTAATAATAAATTATAATATACATTTGGTCAAATGTAATCTTTAAAAAAATCTTAATATTTTAGTTATTGGTTAAAAATAACGTAATCTTCATAAAAATCTTGATCAAATTAACAAAAAAACATGATACTGACCAAACTTGTAAAACCCGCAAAAAAAAAAAAAAAAAAAAAAAAAAAAAAAAGATTATTCTGAAGTTTTAACAAAATTTAATTTTGGATTAAACCGGTATTTTGTTCTTTTTTTGTAAACAAAATTTAATTTTGGATTAAACCGGTATTTCGTCCTTTTTTGTAAACAAAATTTAATTTTAGATTAAACCGAAATGACCTAAAATATTTTATCGATTATCTAGAAAACCTAAAATATTTTATCAATTATCTAGAAAACCGGTTATTCTGAGGTTTTCACCGACATTTTGTATTTTTTTATAGAAAAAATAATGATAATTTGTGATCAAACCATCAACTGATTCAAAATATTTATGACTACAAATTATTTTTCTTTTTATTTTCACTATTTTATGAAAAAATAAATAAATAAATAAATAAATTAAATAAAACCCTCTAAAAAACTATTATGATTATCTTCTCTTTAACGCGACTACTTTTTGAGTAAATTACACGAATGGTCCCTATGGTTTAGGGTAATTTGCACGTTTGGTCTCTAACTTATTTTTTTAACTCGAAAGGTCCCTATTGTTTGTTTTTGTTACATGTTTGGTCCCTGTCTTACCTAAAAAAACTATTTTGCCCTTGATTTTTTAATTTATTTAAATAAATACACTCTCAGCCCCACTCCCCTCACCTTACCCTACCTATCACATCATTTTTCCATATTCAAATAATAGTCTTTTTAGGTAAGACAAGGACCAAACGTGTAACAAAAACAAATAGAAGGAACCAAACGCATAATAAAAACAAACAGTAGGGACCTTCCAAGTTAAAAAAGTAAGTTAAAGACCAAACATGAAAATTACCCCAAACCATAGTGACCATTCGTGTAATTTACTCCTACTTTTTACCAATCTTTTCGTTGTGTCTAAAATAAGTGAAACAATATTATGAGGTGGGGAAATGTGATATTGTCATAAAATCTTAAAATTTCATAAAAGTAAAATTGAAAATCTTCTCGTTTTTCGTTGTGTCTAAAATTTTCAAGTGAAACAATATTATGAGGTGAGAAAATGAGATATTATCATAAAAACGTAACATTTCGTAATAGTAAAATTTTCAATCGAGAGACTTCTTCATTGCAAAAAAATTTATGAATTCAGAAAAACAAATTGAGAAAATTACAGGGATGTTCCCTGTGTTTATGGGTTATTTGCACACTTGGTCCCTAGAAAGATTTTTTAACTTAGACTATCCCTGAAACTTTAATTTGTTACACTGGAAGTGGACTGTTAACTTATCCGTCTGTTCAGCTGTTAAGAACCCCAGATTGGGGGCATTTTTGTCCTTTCAACTTTGGAGGGGATTAAACGTAACTTCCTTCAAAAACATTAACATCCCATAACTGCTAAATGCAAAACTGGTTGAGCACATTATCGCACATTTTTTTTGACCAACGAACTCCATCACCATTGAGATCAAATTGATTAATCATACGAACACATTCATCCACACTTCTCGACTAACCGAATCGATTCAGCATCAGGCTTAAGCTCTTGGGAGTGATGCAATCTGTTCCATCCATTTCATACATACGGAAGACTTTCCTGATTCCTCAAGTCCTCAAGTTTCTCATCTTCCTTTGCACTTTCCATGGCTTCCATTTGACAATTTGACAAGAAATTCAACATCTTCAATTAAAATGTCTTTGTCCAAGATCAATCTAACACAATGTTGCAGCTATGATGGAGAGATCATATTATTTTTTTTTTTTTTTTTTTGAAAGAGAGATCATATTATTTCCATATCTATCAAAGTGACCAAATATGCGTTTGTAATCACTTGAGTTCATGTGAATGGCTTTACAATCTGAGTTGTATCGATTAAGCAAATAAAGGAGTAAATTATGATTTGGAAGATTGATATTCCAAAGCGATGAAGTGGAAGGGGTGGGTTTTAAAGGCGTTGCAAAGGAGAAAGGACAAACATGCCCCTAGTGTGGGGTTGCTAACAGCTAAAGAAACATACAAGTTTTGAGAGTGACTAAAAGGGTAACAAATTAAAATTTTAGGGGTGGTCTGAGTTAAAAAATCCTTCTAGGGACCAAGCGTGCAAATAATCAATAACCACAAGGACGATCCGTGTAATTTTCTCAAAGAAATTTTATATAAAAGTTGTAAGACATGTCTTATTTTGTAAAAACGAAGATTTCTATAAATAATAAGAGTTCTATAAAAGTCGGGAATCCACACTTGGCCGCTTGGGGAATATATTCGAATTTTTTTTACTTGCATAAAGTGACAAAAATGGTCTCACCATTGTAATTAATAATAATAAAAAAAATAAATTAAAAAAAAAAGTATTATCAAAACAAATCCCACAATGAAAAAGCCGGTTCTTAGTTCTTACTATGGCTTTCTTGAAATTACAGAAATTGAAGCCCACGTCTCCCTTTATCTATGTTTTTATGTGCACACATTATGGTATCAAGAGGCAACACACACCATTCCCATTCCAAATTAGGAAGTATAGTATAGTATAGTATAGTATATACAATCACCTTTAAAAGGGTAAAACGGTAAAATCCGACGAGCCAAGTCATATTCACATACATGATGATGATGATGATATCGACAGCTCCATTGGGCAACCATGTTCCCGCTTCAAAGGGATAGTTTCGTCTTTTTCTACGGGTTACTTCTTTTGTTTTAAGAAAAAAAAACACCTTTTTGATTCTCTTTCCTGTTCTTGCTCCATTTGTAAAATAAGGGTAGTGGAGTCCCTCTAGGGTTTCGGGAATATTTCCTTTTTTCTTCAATTCATGATTATATTGTTTTGATCACTGGTTGATTGAAAGAATACTTTCCCGGGTGCAAGCAGGTTTTAAATCCATTACTGCAAAAAAATTTAAAAAAAAAAAAAAAAAATGTACTTTGAAGAACAAAATATACAGGAATCAAAAAGGTCATAGAAGAAGAAAATAATTTCAAAGTATAATGTTGTAACAGAAAGAAAAGAAAGTATTTTGCTATAAGATGAAGGATTACCTTTAGTGACACACCTAAGAGCCAGAACTTGGCTTTTGAACCCACACTCGCTTCTGAAAATACCATTATCAATTAGAAGACTAAATGGGAAAGAAAAAGAAAATGGTCAACAAAAAGTTGACCTCGATGTGGGACCCACACCCACCTCATAGCCAGCAGAAACTCCTCTTTTTGGAGGTTTTCCCTCGTTTGAATTTGAAAAGACATCCGACTCCTTATTAGCATTATGTGAAGATGCCCGGCGATTACCACTGTGTTTATAGGAGGAGCCTGCAATGCATGCATAAAAAATAAGCATACAGCTGATTATACAACGAGGGTATTTTGGTCATTTGACAAACCTTCTGCGCTATCCGGTAGCAGTTGTGTGGATTGAGAAGCGGAAGATGACAAAGACTCATCACTCGCATGCGACCTTAATGGAGTCCAAACACCACGATCTGGTTTCTCTTTATTCCTAGACCTTTTATCCATTTTTTCACCATAAAATCCATCTTGAGGTTTATCATCTTGTAAACCGTTTGAAAGTGGGCCCACATTTTGTGGCCTAGGTGGTCTTCTATCCTTATCCTGATTCTGTTCAGATTGATTTTGTCTTGAATCTTTCAGAAGTATGCTTCTTATGATCCTTCCACTCGCCTCCTGTCGTTGATTCTGTCTGCCACCACCAGAACCATATAAAAGTTTCTGCTGAGGTGTCATGCCAGTGGTGACCTGGAATTTTTAAAAAGTGACATTGTGTATCATATTTTATTTAAAAAAAAAAATTGAAAAAAGTGCAGCATTGTAGGATTAGAATTTAGAACTTTACATTGGGAATTTCCTTTTCTTTTCCTTTTAACAGCAAAATTTTCTTCTTCCCAGTATCAGAGGCTCCAAAAGAACCTGCAGAAATATAAGCAACTTAAAGGGCAGATTGACCTAAAGTGAAATTAAAAATTACAAGAAATTTAAGTAAAAGGAACATTTTACATATTTACATACCCTTCTCTTCATCCAATACTACACTTCCAGATTGAGTGGATGAACTAGGAGACTTTTCAGAAGCCTGACGTTCAGCTCGTTTGACATAAGTTGACTTTTCTTTCCCATTTGTGCTCTTTCCACCTTCCCTTTGGACATACTGTTAAACAAATCACAATAACATATGAGATATGTAAACAAATTTCACAAAGTGTTTACACATAATTCATTTGATGATGAAGATTAAGATAGTGATACCATGGTAGAATTTCTCTTTTCAGAACCACGTTTCACTACAGTAGAATTTGAACTTGAAGATGATGCACCATTCCTTCTCATTAACTTCCCATTAGGCAAAGACCTCTGCAGCAAACAATGGAAAGCAGTGGGGATGAATAGAAATTAGATAGCTTTATTACATTAAAGATGATATCACTTCACAAAGGATCTGTTGTGGTAAGGTAAAAGCTTGAACAAAGAACCAATGTGTGGATATGCCTTTTGCAACTTATGTAATTAAACCATGTCCTAATTCACAACTAAAAGCACCTCTATTATTTCACTTTCTCATAGCTGTAAGTTCATGTAACTTAATACAAAATAAACTACATTCTCAAAAGTAGAATTCCTACCCGGGGTCCACCCTTGGCAGCTCTTTTCTGGCGAACAAAATCCATTAATGGTGTGACTATAGGAGCCTCTTTAGCAGCACCTACAGCTACAAGAACATAGTAGAAAACTCAGAGTTTACTAACCCTTTATATGCCAACTCAAATTTAAGTTTTTTTGCAAGATCAAAAGTTAAAAGAACTTTAGACTGACCAGCTCGTTCAGCTTCCTTTCTCTCCAATTGTATCTCTGCACTTGGAAGATTCTCAACAGGCTTTGAAACAGATTCAAGGAATTCAAGATATTCAGGATCTATAATATGTTCATGAAAAAGTTGGTTGTGAGTGATAAGTAAGATAATGTGTTACTGTGTTAGATGTCAATAATAAGCCTCATAATACCTTTCATTATGGTCCCTTCACGCCCATCCTTTTTAGACCATTGCTTTGGAACACGCTGTGAAGGTGCATACTCAACTATTGTTTTAAATTGGGTACCTGAGAAAATGAAAAAAAGTAAATTTTAATTCATAATAAGAGATGTTGGTTTAATGAAAAAATTACCCTTCTCGTTAACAAAAACATGCCCATCATAGAACTCTGCAAACTCAATGACATCCTCTGGCCTCTTAAAGTCAATATAGGCTCTGGAATATGATTGACACTTCAGGCTGCAAACAGAGTTCAATGGAAGAAAAAGTGCTATTAACTTATTCTGGGAAAAAAAAAAGATGGTCCCAACACATACATTGAGCATATAGATACATGCTGATTCATGGTCACCACTTGTGTAAAGGATGAACATAATTACATGTGGGGACTGGGGGAGAAAGTTGCAAGAATGAGACTGTCAAGATGGCAATGCTACTTTCAAATGAAAAGAAGGAAAAAAGAAAAGAGGTATGTAAATGAAGCTTTTCTTTCTCTTCCTACAGCAATTAATCTTATTGTCCAGGCGAAAATCTTTACCAAACTTCCCTCTGTTCAAGTTCTACTCCCGGTTAAGCTAAAATCACCACAAAACAGGGCGAACAACCCCTTCAACTGAACTCCATGGTCTAACGCTCATCCCACAACACAATGAAATCAGCTTTTAAGGGCTTAAAGATTTAATTTCTTAGTCTCCTAACATCCAGAAACTAGGGATAACCAAACGCCTAAATCACTTTGGTTGATAGAAAGCAAGTCTTCCAATTGTTGTAACTTGTAACGTAAGCTAATCAGCAACATTCCATAGCCAGTTTTATAAACAAATTTCAACATGCTAGCAGTAAACCGAAGCTTAAACGGACTGAACACAAAACCCTAACCTTTGCTTTCCGGAACGGAAACTGAACCAATTATAGCGACCGGAAAAACGGGCGTCAATTTGCTCCATGAGCGCCGACTGGGATATCGTATGCGGCAAGTGCCGAAGCACAACTTTCGTCCGATCTAACGGACCCTTCATGCGTTTTTCCGCGAACAGCAAAACCAAACCCTATAATCTTTTTAACTATGAAAAAACGAACTTTAATCCTTCGAAAACGTTATTCGTGCAGAATAGGGCAATTACATCTCATTCGTTGCGTTACAACCGATGGTAAGTAGTCGATTTCGTGCCCTAATTTTTTAATTTTAATCCCAAACTGCATTGAAATAGAAAGTCATACGCCAGGGATTGGGGAGGGCGATATATGGAATTACAAAGAGTGACGAAAGAGGATTTTGTTTCTGCGTACAAAACTACAAATCGTTCTTCCTACTCCATACCTAAAATTATATATTTATGGTTTTAGATAAACCTATCAATAATAATAATAATAATAATAATAATAATAATACATTGTAATGTCGTATTCTTATAATTCTTTTATTATTATTATTGTTTTTAAGAAAATTTCTAGAAATTTTTAAATATATTTTAGTAATTTTTAACAAAATCCTAAATTTTTTTAACAGAAAAATTACGATTATTTCGCTTTTTGAATTAAAAAAAAAAAAAAAAAAAAAAAAAAAAAAAAAAAAACGACTAATTTATTCACTTTAGCATTTTTGACTTGTTCAATATGCCATGGAACCAAATCGTTGATTTTTCTACAATAAAGGGACTTTTCTGTATATTCCGTCAAAATTTATATATAATGTATAAATGTATTTTTTACGTATTTATATCTATTTTTTTACGTATTTATATATATTTTTAAAAGTTTTTATATGTATATGTATACGTATTTTATGTATTTTAAATATATAAACGTATTTTTATGTATGTATATATATAAAGTATTTTACATAATTTTATGTATTTTATGTGTTATTTCTTATGTATTACATATTTATATTTATTTTTACGTATTTATGTATTTTTAAAATTTTTTATCTAGATGTTTATATATTTTTATATATTTTAAATGTGTAAACGTATTTTTTACGTATTTACATGTATTTTTGAGTATTTTACATATTTTGATGTCTTTTATGAGTTTTTTTATGTATTACGTATTTATATGTATTTTTACGTATTTATATATTTTTTGTAAGTTTTTTATATAGATGTTTATGTATTTTTATATATTTTAAATGTATAAACATATTATTTTACGTATTTATACATATTTTTTATTTCAAATTGTCTTCACCATTTCATCTAATTCACACAGCTTCTTCGAGTTTGATTTTGTTCAGCCCTATCAACAACCATGTGGACTATCAGCAGTTTTGTAGTAAGGGTGAACATTTGGACCGGACCGGACCGATTCCAGAAAATGTTGTGAACCGTGGACTGAACCGGATGAGACATACCGGGTCCAGGTTTATGTCCGGGTTTTCTGGTTCTTAGACCCGTTTGGATCGGGACAATTTTACATGCATATGGTACAACTTGTTAAAACGCGTTTTTGGGTTTGATACAACTCGTTAAAACGAATATGTTGTTGGATTTGATGTGTTACAACTCATTAAAATGAATATTTTTTTTATTTTAATATGGTACAACTCGTAAAAATAAATATATTTTCGTTTCTTGGGCCTTTTGGACCTACTTTGATTGTTTATACTTTATACCATTTGTTTAAGGGGGTGTAAATAACTGAATATAACACCAAAAACAACACAAAGTATTGTCTAAAATCATCTACAAACTCTAAATTACACATTGAAAAAATCGTATGTCAATCCGACTTAAAACGAATGAGATATGCTTGTTTAAAAATTTCAAAGAATACAAAATTTTAAATTTCTTGTTGAAAAGCTTAAATATTTCATCTTTGATATCTTATCTTTGAAGGATTGTAACTCATCGAATATAACACAAAAAACAACAAAATTATAATCTAAAACATCTACAAATTCAAAATTACACATTGGAAAAAACCGCATGTCAATTTGACTTAAAACGAATAAGATATTTTTATTTAAATAATTTCACATAATACAAAAGTTTAAAATATTTCAGCTTTGATATCTTATCTTTGAAAGATTGTAGCTCATCGAATATAACAGTATAACACCAAAAACAACAAAATTATAGTTTAAAATCATCTACAAACTATAAATCACAAGTTGGAAAAAAAACGCATGTAAACCCGACTTAAAACGAATGAGATATGTATGTTTAAAAATTTTCACAGAATACAAAAGTTTAAATTTCTTGTTGAATATTTCAGTTTTGATATCTCATCTTTGAATGATTGTAACTCATCAAATATAGTACCAAAAACAACACAATTATAGTCTAAAATCATCTACAAACTCTAAATTACACGTGAGAAAAAATCGCATGTCAATCCAACTTAAAACGAATGAGATATGCTTGTTTAAATAATTTCAATGAATACAAAAATTTTAATTTCTTGCTGAAAAACTTAAATATTTTAGTTTTGATATCTCATATTTGAAGGATTGTAACTATCTGAACATAACACCAAAAACAACAAAATTATAGTCTAAAATTATCTACAGACTCTAAATTACACGTTGGAAAAAACCGTATGTCAATCCGACTTAAAACGAATGAGATATGCTTATTTAAAGAATTTCACATAATATAAATTTGTTTAAAATAAGCAGGTCCAAAACCGGTTTTTACCAGTAACCGACTGGACCGTACCGGTAAAAAATCCATACTAGACGGGTAAAAAATCTGGACCATTTTTGCTCAAATCCTAGAACCGAGAACTGGCCTGAGTGTCCAAAAAAACATTCCAATCCGGTTCGGTCCACAACTCCACATGTCCACCTTATCCTAGAGTTATCAGTAATTTAATAAATACAGATAACAACAATCAACAAATAAGACTTAGTTAGTCTAACATGCACCCTACTATGACATAGGCAATATAAAGAAGACTTGCCTCGCAAATAGCAGAATAACAAAACAGCTCTCTGACAGTGAAGATCAGTACTAAGAATCAACTAATCATCAATATAAAAGTACCCTCATAGTCGAATTTAAAACCCTCAAGTTGACCTAAAGTCAACTTGGTTAAAAAAAAGTCAACATTCAAAGTCAGCACCAGCTGACCTTCCTTGTTGTGGCCAACCATAGGTCATCTCTCACAACTTAATGGATTAAGCTCTTAACCCTTAACCTCATAAGCTACAAATCTCAAATCTGAACCTTCCCAAGGTCTTGATGGATAGTGTTTCCAACTTTTTCCATTAAGACATCCCAATAAGCCAAGATCTGAAATCCAAATGTAACACCCAAAAATTTCAAACCAATTTAAACTTTTTATACATATCAAGTTCATTGAAAACATTACAACTTTGTTTTCAAAATATTAGTTATCAGAGTTTTTCACAGGAACATGAATATAATAGGAGGAGTTGTAGGATCACGCCTTCGCCTTGCCGTGATCCTCTGATGTACCTGAAACAATAAACTGAAACTGTAAGCCTGAAAGCTTAGTGAGTTACCCCCCAAAATACCGATACACATACAGTCCACATAGCAATATCAACATTAGCATATCATATCAATAACACAGAACAGCATGCACTGGGTCCACAACTTTACAAGCTAGACTACCCCTGGGCCCTCAGTACGAGTCTATAATGCCTACCGGGCCCTCAACTCGTATCTGGAATGCCATCGAGCCCTCAGTACGAGTCTGGAATGCCTACCACGCCCTCAGTTTGTATCTGGAATGCTCTCGAGTCCTCAGTATGAGTCTGGAATGCCTATCGGGCCCTCAACTCATATCTGGAATACTCTCGGGTTTGTTGGCTACCGCACGGAGCAATACAACCTCAACCCACCCCACATAACATGTCGACATGTAACAAATAAATGCACATACAGGTAATCAATCAGTATCACAGGCAATCTTACAAATCTACCCGGTTAGCATATCAACTGGCACACATTACTAACTCAACTCAACATATCCATAACTACTAGGATATGAAATCCAATGGGCCGACCTTGGTGCCTTAGACCCCTTAGTATAGTGAGGATAACTCACCTGCAACTGCCGACTTGAAGAAATAAGACCACGCTGCTCCGACCGCCAACACGAACTCCACCACTGATCATCACCAAATAAACAAACCAATAAACACCAATAATTACCAAAATATATTTGGGAATCAAACTGGTCAACCCTTGGTCAAAGTGGTTGACTCTACTCGCCGAGTCACCCCGTCAACTCGCCGAGTTCCCTTATCCATAAAACTCTCATAACACACTTAACTCGCCGAGTCGCCCCAAGACTCGTCGAGTCCAATGATCTCTGAGTTCCATTCTGACCAACTCATTGAGTCCCCAACCAAAACACTAATCCAATGCTTTAACTGAAAGGGATCGGGGTTCTGCGACCCGACTCGCCAAGTCCAAGAATAGACTTGCCGAGTCCAAGACAATCTTCATCAGACTCACCGAGTTGTTCTTCCAAATCATCGAGTTCCTGCCCATCTTCATACAACTCGCCGAGTCTACCCATGTGACTCGCCGAGTTACTATGCGACTCAACTCCGATATCAAGCCCAACTCGCCGAGTCATCTTCTAGACTTGCCAAGTCCACACGTACATCTTCATTCAGACGATTTCAGGCCATTTCATTGCTTCCAATACATATATTTGGACTCCTAGGGACAAATTCACACGTAAAGTTTCCAACTTTACGTGCATGCAAGGCTCACCAAGCTCCAATCAAGCTATAAGGAGGTTTTTGGGACAAAGATACTCTAAATTAAACCCCATGGTTGATGCTTTAAGCTTTCATAATTCACTATTAACCTAGATCTGAAGTTGCAACTTCAGATCTAATCTCTAAACCCGAAGTGGGTTCCAATCAAGCTAAAATTCCCAAAACAACAACCAAGAATGGATTTAGAAGGAGAAACTCAAGGTAACGACTTGTTACCTTAGAAATGTGCCTAAGAAGGACTAGATTTCGGATCTACAATGGCCTCCCGATGCTAGCCTCTTGATCTTCTAACTTTCTCCTCTTAAATTCTTCTTCCAAACTCAAACTTCAACAATAGAGGCTCACACACACTAACTAGGGTTTCTGGAACTCAAATGGGCAGTAAAGAGGCTAAGGGTGGCTATAATGTGCTTTATATATAACACAAACCCCGAATTAGGGTTTTTCTCCCTTCAGCACCAACTTGTTGAGTCCAGTTGCCGACTCGCCGAGTTGGTCAATTAACATGCATCCAGAATCGCGACCCGAATCGCCGAGTCGACCTTCCGTACTTTCACTTAGAACCATGAACTTGTACTTCTGAACTCGGGGTGTTACACCAAAGCTCTTAATGATTGCACCAATTTCATGGATACTATACTAAGTCATGAAAGTCCCATTTTCTAACCACCACCATGGTCCATAAGTCAAATAAGGCAAATAAAGGTTATGGAGTCCGCTCAAACTCTAAGAACAACAAGATATTGTGTAACGCCCCATTTATTTAAATAAATTAACAAATGTAAGTCCCAGACTAATTGTGGAGAATTTAGAAGTTGGAGGTTTAAATTTGTAAGTTCTGGATTTGGTTTGTAAATATTTTGAAGTCAGGGGCTATTTGGTAGGTTTTAGACTTAAAATGAGATGAATTTATGGAAGCGGGGGCTAAGGAGTAAATTATGGACTTCTTGTGAAGGGATTTCAAATGGTTGGGGGTTAAAGGGTAACTTATGCATTTATTTTGTAAGAAAAAAAGGGAGGGAGGGGCCGATTAGGGTATTATGGAAACTTGTTTAATGTATCAGGTATTTAAGGGTTTAGTAACCCTAACCCTAAGAGAAAAACCCTCCATTCGACACCCCTTATACCTCCCGTGTTCAGCCGTCAACCCACCCTCTCTCTTCCGGTTGCAGCCACACCTCACAACTCCTCTATCACCGATCATTGTTCCTCACATGTGAAGTCGGAGGGTCACCGAGATATCGCCGCTGCCACCGGTAAAGCCGAGAATGCCAACTGGAGGGTCGTGGAACCCCTTCAGCCGCTGCCAAGGACCACCGAACCCTCTCCATCCTTTTCCCTCTCTTCCTCTCGCCGACAATCGCACGTTGCTGGGAAAGAACCATCATGTTAGGCGATTGGGCACCGGATAGGGGAAACTTTCGTCGAGTTGGGATCGTAGCACCATCATGAGTGCTGCCGTTGCATCCATTTTGTGACCATCATGAGGCGTTTCTCTGGCTTCCCACGATGTTCCCGACAACAGCCGTCGCAGAGGCGACCTTCAACAATGTTGCAGCGGCGGCGATCGAGCTTTTCTTGCGGCGGCGCTGAGAAGGTTGCCAAAGGAAGGTGACGGTTGTGAAATGGTGTCGTATGTTTAGGGTTAGACGATTGGAGGAGAACACCGGGTATAACCCATGCAATTCTTCAACATTTGGACGTTTTTACAATACCAGCCCCTCCTCACCAAATCCTCTTCAACTTTAATCCACTATTTACCCTTTAGCCCTTAATTCTACAATTTCATTTCACTTTAGGTCCAAAACTTTCCAAACAACCCTTTAGCCTCCACAATCTCTTCAATTTACGTCCCAATAAATTACCAAGTAGTCCCTGCCTTCATAAATATTTACAAACCATTCCGGAACTTACCATTTTAACCCCCAACTTCTAAAATTGTAACAATCAACCCTCGAAACTAACGCCTTACTCAATTATTATTGATTTTAGGGCTTCTATGCATTTATTTATTTATTTTATAAACGGGGTGTTACAACGTCATTGGTTAACTGACGACTAGATATCACGAATTAATTGGGACCTTAAATTGTAATTGGTTAATTTCTTTTAGATGATTAAATCTCAACAAAGTAAGTGACAAGAGTAATAATATAACAAAATAAGTTAATATAACTACCATATTAGTAATATTACTCAAATAATTTTTATTAAAATAGAGATTATTCAAGGTGTTTGAAAATTTATTGGGCTCGATAACTTCACTAAGTGTCTAAGCTATGATTAATTGCTAGACACTACCTAATCAATTGTATATGGAGGAAATGACTAAACTAACAATTTTCCCTAATTACCTATCCAAAAATAGCAAAAAAGCCAAAAATAGCCCACGAAAGAGTAGTTCGACCAGAGTTGACTACGGTGACGACGATCAAAGGGGGAAATCTAAGGTTTTAGGGTAATGAGCTACTGTTTCGGGTTAACTATAACTTCTTTTTTTTTTTTTTTTTTTTTTTTTTTCATTTTGAAAATCTAAAACCGTAGATTATTTTATAACCTACGGTTTTCTCTCAACGAACTATGGTTTCCCAAACTGTAGTCTATAATTTTGAGAAAAAAGTCTACAATTTTTTTTTTTTTTTTTTAATAAATGGAGAGTTGTTTTTTGAGAATTATTTTGATAAGAAATATTGTTTGTAAAATGTAGAATAGTTTTTTTGACAATTATTTTGTTAAAAAATATTTTTTTGTAAAACTACTCTCTATTTATTTAAAAATAAAATAAAACCGTAGACTTTTACCCAGAACGGTAGACTACGATTTCGGAACCCGTAGTTCGTCGAGGGCAAACCGTAGGTTATAAAGTAACATACGATTTTAGATTTTCAAAACGAAAATTTTTTATAGTTAATTCGAAACAGTAGATGATTTGACGAAACAATAGCTCACTCTAATTACCTTCGATTTCGTGGACTATTTTTGTATAATTACTTATTTTTGGCTATTTTTAGATAGATAATTAAGAAAAATTGCTATATTAGTAATTCTCTCTTGTATATTACTTAGAGCTAATCGAAGATTAATCGATTTTTCACGGCAATCGGACCTAATAAAATATCTATAAGTTCCGGTTAAAATGGATATAAATAGTAGTTATTATTATTGTGTACACATTTGGACACAATATATATTCTATTACAAAAACTATAAAATAATAATTAAAATAAAGGATTATAATCAGACAATTACAGGTTCATTTAACCTCATTTAGCCCATAGAATCTGATTAAAAAAACACAAAATGAAAGTACCAAATCTAATGATTCGTATCCTATGCGATGATCTTCTCTCCCTCATCGTCACTGTTTACAGTAGAAAACATAGAAAAATACACACAAATACATATACGTATTGGTATAATACAATACAATACAACAAATCAAAGAATCGAATCCGCCATAAGGGACCTCTTTCAATTCTGTACAGTGAGTTTTCTCTCTTACCCTCCAACCCCTCTTGTCATTTTCCTCCTCTCCCTCTCAAGAGGGGTCCAATTAGGGGGAAAAGAGTTGAAGAAATCTGTCTTTCCATTACCATTACCATTTCGATTCCCATTTACCTAATTCACAAACCCTAAACGTCGCGCACCTCAAATCAAGTTTGCCCAGTAAGTTTTTCTATCTGTGTTGTATCTGTTTATACATGTGTTGTGTGCAGAGACACCTCTCATGCTTCTGGGTTTCTTTTTTGCGTAACAGAGCTGACTGCCGAAAGCTTCATAGTACAGAAGATTAACCATTAATGGAGAATAGAATACCACCAGGAAGTTACTTCCAGTACTCTCCTACTGGAGTTCATACTTCACTTCAGAGGTCTTCGTCTCCCTCAGATCGTGAAAGGTTAGAAACTTTTGAGCTCTCTTCAACTCTCTGTATGTGATTATCTATGTTGATAACTTTTGGATCTTGGGTTTCTGTTGTTTTGTGGGATTGTTGCTGTTCTTAGTATTAGTATCCGATATTCTACTATTTGGGGATCTATTTTTTCCTTTTTGGGTTAATTTTGTAATCATATGCTACACTTATCGGTATTTGACCTGTTAATTCGCATATGGGTTGAGCTTGTTTACATATTTTGGTGTTCATTTGAGTTTTATTACAAGTATGGATTTGTTGTTTGGAGAAGTGGCTTTTTTTTTTTGTCAATTTTATTGGGCTTGGATCCTTGGCTTTCAGAATCTTGAAATTAAGAACAGAATTGGCAGATCATGAACATGATCATTCTGATGTTGAAGTCTTGTGATGCCAGTGTTTGTAGATTGAGTGACATTTGTCAAGTGTCAACATCAACTTCCATTTTTTTTAATCATGTATTATGATTTATGAGCTCCACTTTTTGCCTTTTTATATCATGGCTTTCACCCTCACCAGTTCTTGACTTCTTGTTGTTGTATAATTTTCTTTATTATTCAGTTGGAATAGAAGATGAAGTAACTGCATAAAACCTCATCTATATTTATTTTATGGTCTCCATTTTGATTTTTATTTGCATTTGACTATTTGGGAGTTGGTCAACACAGATATTTGGCAGAATTACTTGCAGAAAGGCAGAAGTTGGCACCATTTATGCAAGTCATGCCTATATGCAGCAGGCTTTTAAATCAAGGTTCTTTTATTCATTTTCACTCTTTTAATCTAAATTTTGAATTTGCTAATGGTTAATGGTGAAAACTTTAGTCATTTGATAGTTTTTTTTTTCTTTTCCATTTAAACTGTCCTGATAAAGCATTCTCAATAAAGTGTCCTCTTTGTATCAAGTCAAAAGGAGATACTTATATAGGCATATAGCTTACTGGATTAAAGGATTTTTATTTCCCATAATCCCATTAAGTCCTGTATAGGTAAAATTATGCATAAAGTCTGTTTCTTTTTATAGACCGAATAAACCATATGAATGAGATTATTTAAATCACCATTTTACCCCCTTACATTCCAAAAAAAAAATCATGATATTCATCAATTTTAATGTGAGAAGAGTTGGTAGAAAAAAGAAGGGTAAATAGGAAAAATGTTGGTGTCTAAATACATTAAGCCAAGTTTTTTTTTTTTGGGTTTAACCAATTAAGTTATTCTGTGTAGGTGAAGTAAAAAAGAAAGTCATACGATTATCTGTCCAAATTAAGTGCTTAACCCATTAAGCTCATTAAGTAAAAAGGAAACAATCCCTAACTTCTTTTTCCATTAAGTCCATTAAGTCAAAAAGAAACATGATCTAGCTCTAATTATGTTATGTTGTTGTAATGTGTGTTTCTTCCATATTCATTTGCTATTTTTTTGTTTGTTTTGTTTATGCAGAGATCATGAAAACATCGGGAATGGTTTCGAATCATAATTTTGTGGATCATGAGAGAATGTTGCGTGACAGGTCATATCGGTCATTTAATCAAAAACCTCAAAGGGGTCCAATGGATGTAGAGGCATGGCCCACAATGCAACCAGAGGTATCATCACATTCTTTTTCTTTTCTTTCTTTTTTTGAGTTTTTGAAGGTTTTACAAATAATCCCTGAACCTTTCAAAAGCAGTTGATACAAATACAAATCAATTTTCACTGCTATAATTGAGTAGATTTTTCAAAGTACAATGTCCTATAAAGAAAGTTATTTATTAAAATATTAAAATAAAAGTACGTTGCTATTTATTGTTTTTCAGGATAATCGTCTCCTCCAAAGAATGGCATCATTTCAAGCTTCTGCAATGGGGTGGCCCGCATCACCAGGAATGGCAACCTCCACAGTTATAAAAAAAGTTATCAGACTCGATGTTCCCGTTGAAAAATTCCCAAATGTAAGTAAAAAAAAAAAAATATCATAATTCACTTCTTTTATTTACAAATTTATTCTTAACATGTGATGGAATCATGACATGGCAGTATAACTTTGTGGGCCGAATTCTGGGCCCACGTGGAAATTCTTTGAAAAGGATAGAAGCCATGACAGAGTGTAGAATATATATTAGAGGGCGAGGCTCCGTTAAGGATTCTGTTAAGGTATTATTTATTTCTACTTGTGACATATCTCTCAAGTTATTGTTACATATTTGCATATACGATTTTTTAAAGCAACTTTCTTTTTTTAATGAAATCAGGAAGAGAAGTTAAAAGATAAACCAGGGTATGAACACCTGAATGATCCTCTTCACTTGTTGCTTGAAGCTGAATTTCCTGAAGATATAATTGACTCACGTTTGGATCATGCAGTTACACTACTAGAAAACCTCCTAAAGCCAGTGGTAAGATCAAGAAAAACCCTTTTATTTTCTCTATTAAGTTGTTCTTATATGTACAACATCTAACTTTTTAATTTATTTTTATAAATCACTAGGATGAGTCTATGGACACTTACAAGAAGCATCAACTAAGAGAATTGGCTATGCTAAATGGTACTTTAAGAGAGGAAAGCCCTAGTATGAGTCCTAGCATGAGCCCAAGCATGTCTCCCTTTAATAGCAATGGCATGAAACGCGCCAAAACAGGAAGATGACAGGTGGCATAATCTCAGTGGTTCAAATTCTATTTTGAGATGCTGACGTGTAACCTGCATCAACTATGTGAACCGCAAATGGGTTTCACAAACAAGACATAACCAAAAATCTTTGAATGATCAAGAGAAGAAGGTGGGTGGTGATTGGTTTGGGCAAATGTCACCAATTTGCTTTTCTAACTTAGGGTTTAAAAAGACTCTGTGTGTGTGTGTGTGTGGTTGGGTTTTGATGTTTTTTTAGTTAATTTTTTATTTTTGTAATTTTATTATTCCCATGTTTGATTTATGAAATAAGCATCAAGTGTATTGCTATAGTCTAGGTTTTGATTATATAACCAAGGGATCTATTGAGAGGAGAAAAACTTTGTATAATATTTTGTATGCTTGCATCAACTATTAATTTAATAACAACATTAGATTGCATATTTTTTGGAGTTTGACATTTAACAATTGCCAAGTTTTATCTATTTGATTAAGAACATATTTTTTGGAATGTAGCGTAAAATCATAGTAAAATGACCATTTTACCCTTGGTGTGTCTTTTTCCAATCAAATGTCCAATTCCTTTTTCCTATTCCATTGGTAGAAATCAAGTTAAGTTGCAACATTTCATACAAAAGAACAATGTTCTTTCAGTAATCAATATACAAACAAGAAAGAGAAAAAAAAGGGGAAAACTAGTATATCGTGGTCATATGAATATACATGATACAAAACCTAATGAGAAGATTTAATGCTTTCTCATAATAATGTGTAAAATTGCTCCATTTCCTGTTATGGGTACTTGAAAAGTCCCCTCCTCCATTTACATCTGTGTGAGATAAGCTGTGGTTATGAAATACCCGTAATTACCCTTACACTACCAATGAAAAAAAAAGGGTAAATTTGGAAAAAACAACAAGAAAGAGGCATACATACCTCCATCAGTCACGAAGACCAAGTTCGAGCTCAAGTTCATCATCTTCTTCAAAGAGCCTTAAGAGACGAGCATATTGTTCTTCACGTTTCTTCTTTTGCCATAGCTTGAAAAGGAAAAATGATAAAGTAACAACTGCTGCAAGAACCATGCATATTATGAATATTGTAGATCCATTCTTTTTACGTGAAGATGCATCAGCATCATTATCTTTTGTATCTTTTTGGGAATCTGAATCATCTGAGAAGCCTGGAATCATCAAACGTATAACAAAGTTATTAATATTATCGGGATGAGAAAAAAATAATTTTACAAAATTAGGAAACAACGCATCGTAAGACGTTACATCTGTTATAGCCATGGCACCTCTTTTCTCTTTATGCCATGGCTAACACCTCCATGAATCAATAACTAAATCACTTATTAAATCCTTGCTTCAATTCTAACAAACAGGACTACATCACAAAGGGAACAAGAAACATGTTCCTTAATTAGTTTTGACAGATGAGTCAACTTAAACCCCATTCCATAGAAATTACAACTCTATGTTTAATTCTACTTTTAGCTCATATTCAGCACAATCACAGAACAGGGTTATCGGTGCAATTGTTTGAATTGGTTTAAACTAAATGTAATGTAGCTTTAATTAGCTTGTTCGTTGTTTTCCCTTTCCTTCAAAGCAGGTAAATGATCCATGAGAGATAATAGGGTGGGGGTAGAACCGATAAACCATCATCATATCAAACACAATTTAAGTTAATATGTAATAACCCTAGAACACATTTTGTGAAGAAAAAACATACATTAGCGCTAAATAATCATCCAAATATATCTTCGGGGCCATAAAAACCTCCATAGTTATAATCAAAAGACACAAAATTCGCCAATTCACCAACATTCGGATACGTAATCTTTACGTAAAACAAACAATTAACCAAAAAAAAAGATGAGACAAACGCACCAGGGAGGAATTGAAGGAAAATTGAAAAGAATATCAACAGGAAGCGCAAGAAAATCCGGCGTGAGATCTCAGTCATCTCTGGCTTTTCTGGGTGTTTTCCAAGATTATGAAACCACTCGTCAACCCTACCTACGCGTTCTTTCTTTTTCGTTTATGTGGATGTGGCGTTCTTCATTTCAAACAAGACCCAATCGAATCATGCAGGTCTATCGAGTATCGAGGGCTTTGCACCCGCATTGAACCGACTCGCAAAATAAGAAATAGCGACGGCTAAAACCGACGTTAAATTTGTCCAATGTCCCCCACAAAATCCTGAATTGGATATATAATTACATAGGTATCAGCATATGGACCGAGGAACCGGTCGGAACCGGTACCGGAACCGGCACCGGAACCGGAACCCGATGGAACCGGTCGGATCGGGACCGGGACGTTATTTTTGTGGATTTTTGGAATCGGGAACCGGTAGGAACCGGAACCGATATAACCGGAACCGGTAGAACCGGCAATAACCGGAACCGTATGATGCTATTTTTGAAGGATCGGTTCCAACATTTGAAGACACGACAAGAACCGGTAGGAACCGGGAACCGGTAGAACCGCCGGGCCGGTTCGGTTCTTGATTTTGGCCGAAGCCGGTTCCCGGTTCCGGTCCGGTTCGGGCCGGTTCGGGCCGGTTCGGTCCTTTTGCTCATCCCTATAATTACAGGGTACAAAAAAACATTTTTTTTACACAGAAATTCGATTTTGACACCGTGTTTTTTTTTGTCAATTCTGACACTGTGTTTTCCAGTTTGTTACAATTCTGACTACTTGACCGGTTAACCAGTTTGGAACATCATTGTTTCCAAATCGAACATCATTGTTTCTATTTAAGTCGTATAAATATGTTTTTTTTTTTTTTTCATTTAAAAACCATAGTTTTGTATAAATATATTTTTTTACACTTAAACCATATTTTTATGTATAAATATGTATTAGTTATATAAAAATTATATTTTATATTAAATATGCAACTTTAAAATGTATTTGGAGGTTTGTAGGCGTGTAGTCATTCAAACTCGGATATCAAGTTTACAACCCATCAAATTTTTACATCTTATTAGAAGCTTATGATTAGTTTGATTCTCATGATATAACTAATGCTTTGAATGTAAGAAAAAAAACACCTTGTATTTAAATAAAAATGTGGTTTTTAAATGAAAAAAATATGTTTATACGGTTTAAAATGTAATAAAAAAAATATATTTATACGGTTTCAAATGGAAAATAGACAAAATTGAACAAAATTTGATAAATGATGTTGGGTTGGAACAAAAAAAACATAATGTCAAATTGAAATAAAAAATTAAACTTAGTGTCAAAATCGAAAAAATTGAAAACTTAGTGTTTTTTGTGGAAAAAAAAATCAATTTTGACACATCAGCATATCATGTCATCAAAATTGAGACGTCATCATGCCACATCAGCATGTAACCTGGTTAACCGGTCAAGTGGTCAGAATTGTAACAAATTGGAAAACACAGTGTCAAAATTGACACTAAAAAAAACACGGTGTCAAAATTGAATTTCTATGTAAAAAGAATGTTTTTTTGTACCATTTACCCATAGTTATAATAATTTAGTTTAATTTATCATTTGTAAAGAAATAATAAAAAAGTGAAAAAAAAAATGATCAACCATACCATCTATGCCAACCCATTTCAAGACTCCAGACTCACATGTATGATATCAATCGCAAAACACTAATAATATTTGGATTCATGGTTTAAACCATTTGTGAAATTTCACTTCTCTACCACTGAACTATCATCGAGGAGATAAAGAGAAAACTCAAATAGCCATTGAAATTGGAGGTGCGTCCTCATGGCTCATGGTTTGTGATTTTGCCTGATAAATAGGACACGATTTTGTCTTGTTAAGGGTGAAAAAAAAGGATGGTTTAGGAATTGGAAGCTTGTTTGCTTTAAGTTGGGTTTTATGCTACAAAGGGAGGTGGAGATTCATGTCGAAACCATACTCTTTGTGAATGTTTATCATCAGGGCCGGTCCCGAATTCAATATTTTCAAAGGTCTAGGAGTAACAAGAAAAAATGATCCTTATCTTTATTATAATTTTTTATTTTTAAATAAAAATATATAATGAAAAAAATTAAATCCTATGCAGCTGCCCACTTTGTTCCCCTCAATGCCCCCCATGTTTATCATAAAATTGATTCATGGTTTAAATGGTGGTTTAGAATGATGTGAATCATATAAAGTTTAAAGGCGCTTCGAGTAACAACATTTGGTTTCTAGTCTACTTCAGTAAAAAAGTATTGGTTTGGATTCATTGATTTGCAAAAAGACGTATAATAGTCACATTGCATGCTTTTCAAATGATGTTTAGTGTGGAGATATAAAATTTCGAAACATGTAAGATAGATGGTTATGGGAGTTAGAGAATAAAGATACATTTACACTTGACTAGAAAATGTTGGTCATTTTAATTTCACAGACTATATAATGTAATTGAAAATAATATGAGTATAAATGAAGATTTAAACTATGATCTAATAAGTTAGGTCATAGGTGTTGTGAAATGTATATATTTATAAATTAATGCGAGTTTGATCTTGTACGTAACAAAATATTGGGGTCAATAGACATAGCATTGTTACCAATGGGCGGGGTTTACAGCAGCACCCCAAATCACTTATATAACTTTGGACATGGGATGATGCAATGTAATGGAAAACATGATTAGAACGAAAGAATATAAAAAGAAATAAGGCAGTTTTGGGTCTGTTTGGGGAAAACTTATGCTACATTACAACCCATGTTGCCTCCGCCTATCTAATTAGCTTGTCCAGACAGCTCGAGTTGCATGGCAGTTATCTTAACATACTGTTTTGCTATTGAAGATTCCATATTTTTTTCGTCAACTTTGTCTACTTCTGCAGATGTATAAATACATATGCTTATATTTCTTACAAATTGGGGTTCTCTATATACTCTCCAATAACGTGACTTTTTTTTTTTTGTCTTAATTAAAAGTGACTTTGATGGATTGTCCCAAGATTAAATTCCATGAACTCACAAGATCTATCAAAAATCTGAACTTAGTACGAGAGATATCAGCAAGATGGAATATATTGGTCGCAATCAAGTTAAATGTCATGAATTTAATATAGATAATAGCGGAGATTGATACTCTCTTAGTCTCTTTCATTACAACCCAAGAATGGTCAGGTTGGGATGAACAAGTGGGTTTACGATAGAATCAAAGTAAGACTTGGATGCAGATAACTACGGGTATTTTGGAGGTTCTAAAATGAGTTGAGTTGAAACGCCTTCAGTCCCCTCAAGGCCTCAACACTTGTAGCTGTAACAAGTATAGTAAATTGCAGTAGAATGCATCATCTTACCAAAGTAAATTCTTAACATGATTAATTTAAAGAAAAAACAATCAACACACTCCATAAACAAACTCATGATTAACAACCATCCGGTCTTGGTCTTGGGTATTACATTGAGATCAAAACTGACTTAAAATTAACACCATTTTAACCCACAAAAAACAAACACTTTGAAACAAACAAACTACCCACAGAAAAAACATCTCTTCTTTTCTCACTTAAAGCACTTAGCATCCAAAAGAGTTTCCCCTTCAAAAGGCTCAAAATCTTCGATCATCTGATTCACACGCTCCTTTTGTGCTTCATCAGACAAATCCACCTTTGTCCACTCATAAAGCTCCATGTCATAACACTCGTCCATTACAAACTTTGGGATCTCGGGCCCACGGAAAAGCCATAAACCCTTCACCTTGAATGGAGGCTCGTTTCCAATAATCAGCATCTTCCCAAAAGCATACTTTCTTGCTAAATCCATTCTTTGAAGGAATCCTCCAACTTTGTTCATTGTCACAAATGACACCATGTTTTCATCATTGTATTTGTAATCACAGAACCATAGAGAGTAGCCCTCTGGATCAAACATCTCCCAGAAGCCTTCAAAAATAACATATACAAAAGTTAAATTCACTTTAAAACTCCCTACTTCTATTTTTCCATATCAAGAAATTACAGCATCATACTTTCTGATTTTTCTTGTTTGAACATTACACTTTATAAATTTTATCCAATTACAAGAGTGAAAGTGCTTTGTAGTTAAAACATTGATATACATTGGTGGATTTTTTTTTAAAGTAATATATAGCACAAAATAGAAACAAAAATAGTTGGGAATGTAGCTTACAAGTAACTTGCCAAAAAATACCAATATATAGCATCCTACTTCTATTTGTTTCTATTGCAACATTGTATTTTAAAAGATTTCCATCCATTCATAGCAATGAAAATTGAAAATTGCTTTGTATTTAGAGTTATCATAAAAGACCCTATATTTTGGGTTTTTCAGAATTAACCACAACTTTTTATTTTTCCTAAAAAAGACCTTTTTTTTCCCTTTTTTTCAGTTTGGCCCTTTTAGCATACTTACAGTAATCTTCCAGTTTTAGAGGACTGTTTCCAAAAATACCTCAGTTTTTTACTTTTTTTCCAAGAAAACCCTCGCATTTGACATTCTTTAGAAAATAAAAAGTTGACTTTTTTCAGGGAAAAAAAAACCTTCAAGAAGTTTTCTGGAACAACTCTAAATCCAAAATATACCAGTAAACCTGCTAAAAGGGTCAAATCGGAACAAACAGAAAAATGAAAGGTTTTTTTTAGAAAAAATAATTTTTAGGTTTAATTCGGAAAAAACGTGAAAATATTGGATCTTTTATGCTAGCACTTGTATTTAAATGACATTTTTATAAATCTGTAGACTTTTTAAAGTATATTGTTGAAATAAGAGAAAACAAAAGTAGTATGCTATAATAAGCAACTTAATGAAAGTATGTTGCTACTTCTTTTCCCAAATAAAAAAAATAAAGAATGATGATATACCTTTAATTGCAACCTCACGGAAGTTGGTCTTGGTGTTGGAATAAAGCCTTTTCCAGTCATCCAAAACCATCTTACTTGGTGGCAACAAATCAAGAGGGTTCTTTGGTTTAGGCTTTGGTGCCTCTTCTTCATCGCCATTAGTTTCAGCTTTTGGAGCTTCTTTCTTTTCTTCTTTTTTAGGCTCAGCCTTTGGTTTAGTCTCTTTAGGTTGAGCTGCTTTTTTTGAAGAAGGAAGAGGTGGAACAGCTTCTGTTTGTTTCAACTCACCAATAACCTTACTGAAGTTAGGTTGATTAACCATGGTCCAGAAATACCTCTCAACATGAGGAAACTCAGATGTGAAGGTTTTGGTCATCATGACTTTGAATCCAAGGTAAAGATTGCATGTTGTGATGATGTCAGCAAGTGTCACGCTATGTCCAACCAAGAATGTGTGCGAGGCAAGATGTGTGTTTAGGGCACCAAGAGCTCTCTTTAATCCAGCAATTGCAGCCTCCTCTACCTTTAATTCGTGTTGAAAAGAAGTGTTATTGATAGGACATGGACACTATAATCGAAAAGGGTAAATTGGTAATTAGTAAAGTGTAAACAAACCGGAGCAACATAGTTAGCATAACCAAATCTTGGCATCAACCATTTCAACACATTTGTGTCGATTTCAAGTGAAGAGAAATCAATCCATTGCTCAATGTGTCCCTGGAAAAACATTCAATGAATAAGTAAAGCTTTAAGTAAATGAGTTTAATTAAAAAAAAAAACTTTATCGAAAAATGATGAAACTTACATATTCAATTGGTGAAGATCCCAAAAGAGAAGTGTCAGTCTTCATGCGAGCAACTATGATGACAAAATATAACAGAATAAGCACTACAACGATAAAAAAAATTATGAGATTTCAATGGTCATGAGTCATGTCACTTACCATAGCGAGCAATGGCATTACTCTCAAATACAGGGCCATCAGGAGTCTCAAGAACAGGAACCTTCAACAATTATAGCACATTGTGTAAAGAAACTGAATAAAGCACCCACCATTGCAGAGAGTGAAATCATATTTTTTTGAAAAAAAAAATGTACCTTTCCAATAGGGTTCATCTTAAGAAACTCAGGAGTTTTATTTGAAACGCCCATTTCGAATTTTTCAGCCCACTTAACTTCAACACCAACATATTCTGCAGTAATTAATGTCTTGAAAGCATTCTTGTTGGTTTTCGCAGCATGCATGACCTACAAGAAAATTATCTGTTAAAACAAATTATCTTAAACTTAAATGAATGCAACTAACCATAACTACATCACCATAGTAACACAAAAGTTGGCACTTTGTTTGAAGGCTCATTTGTCAATTTATGATTCAACAAGCAACATGATACAAGTTTCTAATGGTTAATACTTCACTATCAACATAAATCCAGTATCTAATGAACTTATTATCATGGTAGCTTAGGCCATTGTTCAATGAATTTTTTCTCAATTGTGAAGCTACATGTTAAAACACAAGGTATATATCCCAAAATATTCTCCCAGTAACATAAGTTAGAACATTTGAGTTTGAAAATGCCATCAATAAGTTGATATTAATTCATTATAAATAAATGAGCGATAAATCAGATGGTTGTGCATTTGATCACTTAGATTACAAATTAAAACCAAAACAACAAGTAAAACACAGTAAGTTGTCGATCAACATTGTAAATTAAGTGATCAAATAGCACCACAACTGGATCTAAACGCAATTAACACAAGCACAACGAATCACGAGTTGGCCTCCAAACATAAACAGAATTTCGCGAATATTTCAAATAAATTCGATAAAGCGAAATGTGAAATAACCAGACAGAACAGCAACAGTTCATGCATATATAAACGTAGAACTACAAATCTGCCTACTTTGAAATGTTATTATGCATGCACACTTGCGCAACTAACAAAATTCAGCGAAAATATCGACGAGAAAGTAACAAAATCAGAATTGAAAACTCACCAGAGCCATTGCTGAAAGGAACAAACGTTCGTTTTTACGTCAGATCTGAATAACAGAAACAAATACAGACTTCGAATGAGCACGCAAAATAGAAATGGTAAGAAATTGTTGAACAAGAAAGATTAAACGGTGGAATGAAGATGATACCTGATAATTACACGAGCGTTTCTTCCGAGAGCACAGTGAAGAGTCCACAATGAAAGAGAGATATATGACTAGGGTTTCCTACTGTTGAAGGGGGTAGTGGCCTAGTGGGCACTTCTTTATGCAATAAAGTTTTGGGTTTTCGTTGGAAATGATAACGGGCCAGCCCAACTGGATTAATGAATAGTAGTTTCTTTTAATAAAAATTACTTAAAAGTTAAAACAATCTTTTATAGATTTGACAAAATTACAGAAATGGTACCTGTGGTTTGTCGATTTGTCAAGGCAATGTACTAAAATAAGATTATTACCAAAAAATGGTGTGGTTTTGGTCCCTCTTTCAATAAGTTTAAAAGTTTGGCTTGTTAACTTTTTGAAAATTATAGTTTTATCTCTAAGAACCATTTCAACAATTTTATTTTTTTACCAAATTATAAGGACTATTTCTTAAAAAAAAAATTATTTTATTGAATTATTATAAAATTTTTTTTTTTTTAATTTCTTTCTTATTCTTATTGTATTAATTTTTTCAAAAATAAATGACCAAAGTTCATTTAAATAATTTTACATTGGTTAAATTATGATCAAAACATAGCAAAATTGATAAATGAGTTATACTTTTGCTCGAAAACAATTAATGAAAAACTTTATTGAATCAACATGTACTTTAGAACAAAAATTCCTCATGTAAAAATTTAATCTAATACTCGTTATTTTTGTCATTTATTTTACATGCTCAAAAAGAAAAATCCAAGATTCTTATAACAAGAATCAAGAGCCAATTGAAAAGAAATCAATAATCAATATTTCAAAATCAGATCTCAAGGACAAAAAGGCTTGTTAGGTTCATCTCTATGACTTGGAATCCTGAAGTGCCTTAATCTCCCCTCTTGTTTCTTCATATACCCTTCACACAAAAACGCATTAGAAAACTTATCCTCAACAACCCTATTCACATCATGCACAAAAACATCGGTCTCTCCCTCCGCCCTGTTCCTCGCCATCATCCCCGCCGTATAAATCGCACTCATCCGCCCTGGTGCCTCATCATAGTACCCCGTCGGCGCATCCACCATTATCAAATCCCACGTCGTCTCATAAACATCCTCCGGCAAACCCTTCAGCGCTAATTGACAAACCGAGTGCCTGGTTTCACCCACCGCCGTGCACTCCGGCCCTTTTCCGGCTTCCATAAGGCCATCTGCTTGGTTCACCTTACTGTCATACGTTACATGATAAGATTCCAACATGGGAAATCTTTTCTTGATTTGCTCGATCCATGCTTTGTCTTCTTCAAGAAAGACTGTTCGGCCATTGAAGTTCAAAGAGCTCCACATTAAGCTATCGTGCCCTAGCCCAAAGACTAGAAAGTTACAAGGTGATTTCATGTCTAAGATCTTTTTGGTTACCGATATTTCTTTGCTGGTTTGTTGTGGGGTGATGGTGGAGGTTGAGTAGTGTACCAAGGCTTGAGCTAATGAAGGTGGGATTTTGTTGCAGGTTTCTGAGCATTTTGGCGACTTTTGAATGTTTCTTAAAGAACCTGAAACTGCTTTTGGAATGACTTTTTGCGCAATTTGAGATGAAACTTGATCATTGGAAGATGAAAAGGTTGATCGAAATACAAAGAGAAGAAAGAAGACGACAATGATGGCAATGACAAGAAGCTTGGTGTTCATTGGGTATTGTGTTCTCGACCTCATTTTTTTATCAACAGATAAAACTAAGTTTTCTGGGATTGTTATGAAGCTATGGGGTTGTATTCAAGTATGTATATATCTATAGAGAGAGACGGTATGGTGATGCTTAGAGTTTAAGTGATTATATTAAAGAATTCTATGATGTAAGACATGCAACCTAGAAAGATTCTGAATGAAGCAAACGGGTAGTTGTTAAGTTTGGTGGAATATTTGGTCTTTGAGTTGCAAAGTTAAAGGCATCTTAAGTTGCTAATCATTTTGAGTCGGAGAAAATACTAATCTAGCAAAATATATTAATTATCTATCTAAAATTAGCCAAAAGAAATACATTACTCAAAACTAGCCCACGAAATAGTAGATGTGTTAGGGTTGATTACAGTCAGCGAGGGTTGACTGCGGTCAACCTTCGAAAACTGCTCTCTCGTCGCAATTGACTACTCTTTTATGGTCTGTCTACTGTTTTGTGGGCATTGGCCCATAGTATAGAACGTCTTACTTTTTAGTTTAAGTTACTTTTTCCTCATTTTTTTCTATCATTGTCTATTATTTTCTCTCAATAGAACACCCGAACAACGAGATACGTCAATTTTTAATCAAAATTTTACTGTATTGTTGATTAGGAGTAGTTTTTGTATATTGGGATAATTTTTTTTTTTAAACCGAAAAAAAATTAATACCGTAGGTTTCTTACGAAACATACGGTGTACAAGTCCACAATGCACAAAACCGTAGCTTTTTAACCAAAGACCGTAAATTTCAACCCAAAACCGTAGATTTCATTAAAAGAAGAAAAAAGAAAACCGTAGATTTAACCCAAAACCGTAAGCTACAATTTAGGAAACCGTATTTTATAGAGAAAACCGTATGTTTTAAAAAATCCTACAGTTTTCTATCTTCAACATGATTTTTTTTATACTAAAAATGAAACAGTAGACGGATTAGCGAAACAGTAGACGATTCTAAAATCTACGGTTTTGTGGGCTATTTCGGACAATTCCTAATTTTTCGCTAAAAATGGTTAATTACTTTCTTAATTTGGCTAAATTAGTAATTAGCCATTTTGGGTTTGGTGAAGGCAGTTGCACCATGTCCGAAACCGATTAAATTTGCTAAAAATGACATTTTGGCACTCTTTTTCACCTTTTATACATATATATATATATTATATATATATATATATATATATATATATATATATATATATAGGGTAAAGTGAATATACCTAACAACCTTATATAAGCTTACGTACCTAACCACATCATACTACGTAATTTTGTATCATATTTGCATTGCAATCACCCAAAGTTCTTAAAACTCAACCTCATAATTTGATTGCTTCCAAAATCTTTGGACTTTCACCATTATCTTCCTTCAAATGATGTCGTTCTATCGGAGGCCCCCTGGTGGGCTTCATATACTACCGTTACAAATCAAATGGTGTAGGAGGAATACAATGGTGAATGTCTGAAAATCTTGGAAGTAAATCAAGTTAAAGGTTGAAGTTTAACAACCTTAGACGATTGCAATGGAAATATAATGCAAAACAATATAGTATAATGTGGTTAGGTACCTAAGCTTATATAAGGTTGTTAGGTATATTCACTTTACCCATATATATATATATATATATATATATATATATAATATATATATATATATATATATATATATATATATACACACACTATGCTATCAATAGTGCGCTATAGCGGTGCTATAACGACGCTATAATGTTTTGCGGTGTTACTGAACCATTATTTTGAAATAGCATTTTCAAATAGCGATAGCGCAGTTCGCGGCGCTATTGACCGCTATTTACCGCGAAACTCATCAGCGCTATAGCGATGCTACACCTGCTTTTAGAATTTCGTACATATTATACTACTTTAACAAAGAAAAAAATGATTGTGTGATATTTCAATATTAAATTTTTATTTTTTAAAGTAGTCCACTACAATTTTTGTCTTAATAAGTCCAAATAATAAATATAATTAATTACAAACTACAAATCAACAAATGACATCTTCCCTTTCTCATATGTTTCAGTACTTAGTGACCACAAACGATTTGAGCTGTAAGGACATTTTGATACTTTTTAGTTTCCATATAACTATATTAGAATATTATATATAGATTATGTATTTAAATTTAAAAGAGAAAAAACATTTTAATTTTAATAATTAAATATTTTTCTATTTTTCTTATAAATTCAACTTTTCAAATGTTTATAATTTATATATATGTTTTTTTAAATGAACTTTTGTAATACATGGATCTTTTATATTTATATATATATATATATATATATATATATATATATATATATATATATATATATATATATATATATTTGTGTGCGAGAGAGAAAAGAGTGCAACCTAACCATTTTTAACAAATCTATCATGTTTCTATTAGGTTTTTACCATTTTACATTTTGTTCATTACATGTAATAATATTTTATTTTACACCAATCATATCTACATATTAAGAATCAATTATTCTTTGACTAGTTAATTTATTTTATTAAACTTAAAAAAATAAAGATTGTATGCTCATCTTTCACATATCTTACCAAATCACCTCAACCCAAGTGATTACGATGATGAATTAGTTAATTTAAATATCAAATGAACTTAAAAATACAAACAATAAATTCAATGAATTGAAATTTTTAAACATTTAAGATGGACGAGGATAAATTATTTAATTATTTTTATAATAACTTTTTAAAATGTTAAACTATTAGAAAATGTTTGTGGTAATATATTCATATTAAATAAATGTTAGTAGAAAAGTTATAGTTATTTTTTTGAAATAAATTTTTTAACAAGCAACCATTAAAATGCTCTAATTTCAATAGAGACGCTCTAATTTCGATAGAGACGTAAGAATGTATAAACAAGTTCACATGTGCACTTTGGGACATTTTGTTAATTGTGGAACATGTTCATGGGAAGACCTAATATACACACCAAAACTTTTACGAATTTATCATCTTATAAATCTTAATGCCTTTGGATAAGTAGTTGACATTCAGAGAAATGTGGTTTATTTTATCTAAGTTGTAAGTATAATACATTGATGAAAAATGTAGGCATTTATGGTTTTGTATCGTGTACAAAGCACTTACCAATTATCTAATCATGTTTATGTGATAATATATGTGGTTTATTTTTTATTTAAGTTGTAAGTTTATAAGGGTGTCTCTTACAACGTGTTTTAAAGTCATGAGGGCAACAAATCCTATAAGAATTTTGTAGTTATGGAGACTCAAACGAGAGCAATTTCAAGACATGTAACGCCCTAGGAAGTTTTCACACTAAATTGCCCAAAGTGAACAATATTGTGGCACGTGCCTTCTAGGGAGATTACAAATGGTATAAAAGCTAGGGTATTGGTTGATGTGTTCAAAGGGTACGAGGTGAAGGTATGAGTCTACTTACACAAGATCATCGATCGACTAGGAAGGGGAACTAAACATTTTCTTATAAAGGGTGTTGATACCTTCTCTATCATGATGTGATTTAAAGTCATAAGGGCAATATATCCCATAAGAACTCTACAGGTAATGAGGCCCGACAAGAGTAATTTTAGATGGGTAATATCATGGGAAGTTTTCGTACCGAGATGCCTAAATAGGATAATATTATGGTTTGTGTCTTTGGGAGATGTTATAAATGCTAGAACATGGGTCGATGTGTTTGATCAGGAAGTCGAACACTATAAAGGGGTGAACGTAGGTGGTTACTTGAACCTGATCCCACATTGGTTGGGAAAGAGAGAGATAAGCATTTCTTTTAAGGGTGTTGATACTTCTCTATCAGAATGTGTTCTAATATTGTAAGGACAACATATTGTATAAGAACTTAACAATTAAGGAGGCTAAACCAAAAGCAATTTTAGGATGGGTGAGCTCTAAGAAGTTTTTATGCATATACATTTAGGGATGTGTCACACACGCATAACAAGTGATTATGAGTTGATATTGGTATGAGATTTTAGAGGTGATTATGAGCTGATGTTCTAGGTATTTCAGTAAGATATCGGTATGGGATTTTAGAGTAATATATCCACTTAGATCTTTCATTTATATGTGGCATGAGTATTTAGGTGTTAAATATGACTTGTGAATGGATAATGATAACCTATAATTGGATTGTCCATAGGATTGTTTAAAGGGACATTTGAATGGGCAACAATACCAATACCTATTACTTGTTTTATTTTAGATTGTGCATCTTATTATGTTGTAGCTGATGGGAGCATATTTCTTGTTGGTGTTATTTATGTCGAATTGTATATGCATGAGCCATGAAGTGTGTTATGTTTTGGTTTACGGTTAGCATGTAGGTTACATTTAAAGTCTAGATAGACTCATTGAAGCTTAGATGGTTAGCTTGGAAGGAGATGACATCTTATGTAGATCTTTTGTTATATTTTGGGTGCTAGAACACTCAACTCGTGCCTAGTAGATTTTTGTCTTTGTATCAAGGAATGTAATGACATAAACTTGTGTCCTTCGATCAATATGGAAGTGCAACTAGTGTAAAATATGATATTTTAAAGAAATTTTTGCCAAATGGGTGTGTTAGATGTTGGAATCAAGTGTCAAATTTATACCTAAGCTTAAACTAGCATGGCGAAGACTATGGGGGGGGGGGGGGGGGGTGGCATAGGAAGCCAGATAACAGATCCTCATCATGGAAGTACATATGGTTTAATATGAGAAATTTTGTAAAGATGTACTTTTATAGTGGGGAGCGGGTTGAAACGCCCAAGGTTGGTGTATACCTTTTTAGTTGTATCTTGAAGATGTATGGGAAAGCAAAGATTGGGCCAACTTACAAGTCCTGCTATGAGTACATCCAATTAATGTTGCTTGCCATCTGTAGACATTATCACTAGAGAAAAGTTGATTAAATTAAATGGCTCTATAAGTACTTGAAAGTAGAAAGCTTTTCTGCAAGAAATTTGGTCAAAAATGTATCAAGTTTCTTGGATT